AGTTTGACTTTTCGTCGCTTCTTCAGCTCCGTTAAAAATCCAACTGCGCCAGAACAGGGTGTAGCTGGTACATGAGACTTAAAGTCCTCCGAGTAACATTCGCGTTTTCCGTTATCACCACGTTGCGTCTGCTTTGGCGTTTCGACAATTTTCAGACTGTTCAGACGCTGTAGAATTAGATTTGTCTCAATGTTTGCCATGTTTAAACGTTAGTTTTGTCTGCGTTTATTTGCTGACTCTGTCTACGCGCTGTTGACGGATGCTGCCTTGCAACTAGATTTCCAAATATTTTATCCCKACTTTTATATACGGTAGACGTCCACGCAAATTTGATAGACTGTCATAAAGTTGTGCAAATTTTCAGAGAACTATCGATGCAGCTGTCTGTGATTAGTGTAAGTGTTAACAGGTAACAGTAATGGACACTGAGTATTATTTTATGATTTCCAATGAAAGGCGCCTAATCTCCGTTTGATGAGTTTAAAATGAAGCAGGTAATAATTTACAATTCACCATCTGGCGTGTACACACTGGCTCTGGCAGCGCACCATATGTTTTCGAAATTCAAGTGCACGTGTGTGTRTGTGAGTGAGTGTGCGCGCCTCTGTGTTTGTGTGTCAGAGCACAGTGTGAACTGCCATTGCAGTGTGGGGGGATTCATTAGAATTCTGTTACGCGAACGGTGAAGGCAGTCGGTAACCCTTCAGCATTCAATTGGCAATAGTAATAATTCAGCATTGACAATTAATGCAAACAATTGATTTGGACAATAGTAAATCAATAGCAATAGCGAAAGCGATAACAAAAACAGCAACAACTAGCCAAATACTTCGATYGATATAAAAGTCAAAGCYAACTGTGAATATTGTGTAATTGCTTCCACGAGAAGATGAATTTGAAATTAGACAGCAGAACGCAGAAAAACAAAAACAACTGAAAAGAGAGCAACTTGTCAACAGTTGGATTTTAAAAAAATTTCTCAAATCATATGATTTTCTAGAAAGAAAGGAACATACTCGAATAAATAAACATAAGCAGAAATCAGATAAAGAGAATTATCGTTGGCCAACAGAAAATAATAATAATTAAAAATTAGTTTCATAAAATTGACATGTACACAGTAAACAAGGGACCTAGCAAAATTGTTGCTAAAACTCGACGCGGTAAGTAAATTGTACAAGAAATATATGTAAATGGTGTAAAAAGTACAATAAACCCTACGGGAAAGGCGACCGCCTGCAAAAAGTGTTGCTGTTATGTCACAACGTGCCGCCGCTGCCGACAGAGGCAGCGCTGCTAAACTCTCCCGCAGAGCGCTCTCACAGGCGCTAGCTTACGCTCGCGCTCTTTGCCTTTTGTTTTGTACTTTTTGCCGGTAAACCAAATTTACATTCAAACAATAACAAACAAAACGAATGCCCACAGGTCTGCCGCAAAACTTTGAAAAGTTCGAGAGCATTAAGGAGAGCGGCAAGAAGCATGGGAGCATCAGCAACAACTTTGATCTCAACAGTCCCGAGAAGAACAAGAAGTAAGTGAGCGATGTTCGTGTGTTTTTGTGTGTGACTGTGTGTGTGGCTTATGCAAACGATGTGCGCTGCACTGTGGCTTATCTCAAATCATTCGTTTTATCACAAAAAAACATCGAATAGGTCGACCTTTGTATATAACAGGAGCATGTTAATTGAGTAACCAGAGTAACCGGCTAGCCCACAACACGTGGGTCAGTTTCGGTTATTGCTAGCAGAGATACATTGACTTTTGTCTGCCATTTTCTGCCCGTTACGTCACAAAAGTGCTTTGTCAAAAGATTTTCCATTACGAGATTTATTTTCGTAGTCGCCATGTGCGTGACGTATGTTTGCCTAAGTACTCAACTTAAGTGAGTGTGTGTGTTGGTTGTTGCTTATTCTTATT